AGACCAATTTGTTGAGATGCCATGCATACTTTTTTAATTGAACAAAAAATTATGTGCACAATGTACACATTAGTCAGGTAAAAAGTTTCCAGTGACATCTTTTGAAAGTATAGGAAACTTTCCTCCTGACTTTACAAATCTTTCAGCCTTCTATCTGTTCCAATAGTGCTATGATTTGCATGAAAAAAGAATGCCGCTATTGAATTTTAATTTAAAGTGGGATGAATCTAGATTTTTTATCCAACGCCACCTTCCAAATATAAATTTTGGCATCTGAAAGCTAATGTGCACAATGTACACATTAGCTTTCAGTTACCATAATTTATATTTGGAAGTTGTTATAAGCTGTACATCTTATGCAGTGATACCAATTTTTCAAAATTCTGTACTAAAAACCCAAGGTGCTTGAATAACTCTGGGGCACATCACATGGCGTGATCAAGTAAATGCAGTCTTTTACCTCACCAAAGCGCGAATCTATCCTAGGATGCAAGCATCCTCTTTGAAATATATTGAAGCTGACTTTTCTTCCATCTGATTGGGATGAATTTCACAACCCTGTTTTCATTCAGAAAATAAAGAAAACAGATGCAAGAATCACAAAAACGGATGATGCATTGTAATGGTAATTATCTTCACGGCAACAGACAAGACAACTTATTCCTGCAAGTATAAGACATGTACAGTTGAATCTGAATAACTCAAACCTCCCTAAGTGGAATCACCCATAAGTCAAATATTTTCAGGTTCTGTATGAATCCCCTTAAAACTAATGAATTTAAAACCTGCCTAAGTCAAAGGCTTTTCCCCTCAAACCTCCATAAGTTGAATTTTCTGTGGCCTGTGGGCTTTTTCTTGACACAAGAAAGAAAAAAAATCATTAAAACAGGAATAGATGTGTTTTAAAATGAAGTGAATGACTCAATTGGGGAAATGAACCCTGCCTCCAAGTTCAGAATATCGCAATTTAAAATTTTGAGCAATTTTTCTATGTTTCCCAGGAGAAAAGGGCTTTGTATTTTAGCTCAATTCAAAACCTCCCTAAATCAAATTTTCACGTTGGTCCCATAAAGTTCAACTTATAGAGGTTCAACTGTACAAACAATAATGAACATTTTCAGAGCAATAATTTAAATAAAAAAAACCCCAGTTGAATGTTTGGACTTCCTTATTGCATTATTGGACTCCAGTGAAAGGTGCAGCTGCATTTCAAATCCACAAAGGTATTTTCCTATGCGACCCAAAGAATGAGTGTACAGTATTAGAAATGGTGAAATTTTCTACAGCAGGTGATGCTCCAGAAAGGTGGGGGTTTAAGGCATATGGGATCACACTTGGCCAGAGTTCCAAGAGACCCTCGCGCGCCTCATAAACTTGGCATCCTGCATTCCCTCCATTTTCATTTTACATTCCCCTTTTTTTTTTTCTTCTTCAAACCAGGAAGCAAGGCGATCGTGCTCCAGAAAAGCTACAGTGTATGGAAAAAAAATTCCTGAATTTTCGAACACATATAAAAAAAAGGAAGCAGAAAAGAAGACGAAGAAGGTGGCTGGCTGGCAAGTCTAATATTGAAAAAAAAAAAAGAAAAAAAAAAGAGGCCCCAGTGCAGCCCAGCGCCGACTCGAACCCGTGTAGGTAGAGCAAATAGGTGCTGCTGCAGGGTTTTCAGTGCCAAGATTTTTTCCGCGTGCCGGAAATAGCCCCGAATGCAGGAAGTCAGTGAGTGAAAGAGAGAAGGAGAAAGTGAAAGAAAAAGAAAATGAAGCAGCGTTCCACGTGGAATCGTGCCAACAGGTCGCTCCTCCTTATGTTCCTGGCCCATGATGTTCCATGCGGCGAAGAACCAGTTGCTTTTCCTCAGTTCTTCGCTGCTGCTCAATCCGTGACGGTCGCTATAGTCTTTGCCCATGATGCTGTGGAAGAAATAGCAATTTCAAAGAAAAAAAAAATATTTGCGTCGCAGAGGCTATTTGCACAGTACAAGAAAGAAAGCTAAAGAAGAATAGTGGGGGTCCTTGACAGACTTTTATAGTGTGAGCGTGTGTGTGCTTGGTTTTGTTTTCATATTTAGATTTCCGCGTTACTCAAATTGCTGTTACGAGATGCTTAAAAAATTGTTTTCCATACTGAGAAAGCGCTCAATCTATGAAAACGCATAGATTGAGCTATATATTTTCATAGAAGTCTTATTCACATTAATTTTGCTGTTGCTTTCATCAAGTTCCACGGATTGCTGATTACGTCCACATTCATAGTGGATATATGCGCGAAATATGAAAACAAAGAGGCATCAATTTATAGCACAAAATTGACCTTGAATTTTTTGTATTTGTGCATCGAAAGAACAAGGCTCCAAGGGGTCAGGGTACAAATGACAAATCTTGGGAGGAAGGGTGCTCAAGAGACAAGAATGATCTTATTTATTTTGAGAGTTTCTCTGATTATTTTGGTTGATTGGAAATCCTAGATTACGCTAGTTTAAGTTTAAAAAGTTGGGCTCAGTTTGTAGTTTGTCAGGTTACGCTCACTGTGCTTGGTTATAGGCTGACTTTTATAAAGTTATGCATAGGTTCTTGGGTAGAGTCAGGTCTGGATCATTAGGTTGGTTTTCATTTGTTCAACTATGTCAACATTTTCAATGTAGGTTTGGTTTTTCAGGTTCAATATGGATTATTTAGGAATACAGGTGAAACATTGCAATTTGACCACACAATAATTCATCCATCTTGAAATTTGATATTCAAATTTCCTGGAGGTCAACTTGAACTTTGACCTCTGCCCTGCAATTTGACCCATGTAGAGACACACAATGTAAATACAATGATAAAACCGTGTTATAGCTGTTTTCTTGCAGTTTGACTGCTTTACAATTTGACCCTAGTCCAGCGACAGGCTACTGTTGCATTGTGCGGCATCACCTTTAGTTTAGTAATGTTGCAAGTGTTACATATTCTCAGGTATATTTATGAGAAGTTATTTTAAGGATTTATTATGGCATTTTTTTTCTGGGGCTAGATCAGGTTATTAATTTCAGCTCAAGCTTGGTGAAGTTTCTTTGGATTCAGATACATCATGATTCTTTGTTACGCTTCCCATGCTACATTTGTTAAATTGGCTCAGAATAGGTTAGGTCAGGTTAGGTCAAGTACTTAAGTTCATTGTTTTATTTTTGGCACTAGAAGTGATTGTTATTCTCTATAATTTCTGTTTCCAGCTGCCAAAGCTTTTCTGCACTTGCCAATCTGGGATTTGTCCATATTCATTTGTGCTACTTACTCTCATTGGGACTTTTTTTTCAATGAGCATGGCATGAATACATGAATGTTGCATATACAGAAGCTTGATTAAAAAAACAAACTAGGAGCCTATTCAAAAGTTACTCCTTGTGGATTGTGACATGCTACATTTCTCTTGCATTCCATCAAACCTAAACTTTGAGACTATAAGTTATATTACCACCTTTCTGAAACAACAGTGAGTGGCCTTTATTGGTTCGAATTTTTCAACTGACCTCCTCATGGACGAGTGCCGAGTGTGAAGAGTTTGAATTTCTTTGTAGTGGGAAAGGACACATTCGCATTTGCAATTGAGTGAGCTTTTTTTTGTTCCTTGCAGAAAAAGGCCTCAGTTGTTCTTGACCCTTTTCGGTGCTTCTCACCACTCCAACTACCGCCATGTCTGACGAGGAGGAAGTTTACTCGTGAGTTGTTTCATTTTTTTCCCCCTTGATGAATTGATTTAAAAAATCAATGGAAACGTGCTTTTGTAATACGAGGTTATAAAATAAATTCAACAGTTGCTTTTCCAAAACTAAAAACAAGAGTTGTCTTATTTCTTACACCTATCTCACGTACATTTCTTTATCTGATTTCGAAGCTAAAAGTTAAATTCTTCCGTCAAAGAGGCTGACTTGAAGTCGAAGAAAATATGCAGGTGAACTCTACCTATAACGAAATTTGAAAGACCCGAAAAATTTGTCGTATGGAGAGAATGTTGTTCTATAGACAGTTGAGTTAAACGTATTGCTACTAGATAAATACGTACAGTGTTCAGGTTTCCGGACCATATTTCCAATATTTCCAGTTTTTCATTAGTTCCGTCATCTGTGCTTTTCATAACAAGTTATCCAGTATTATTTTTTATTAATGATATAGACATCATGACTTTCTTTCAAAGACTTCATTGTGGAAGACTGCGGATAAATTGAACAGAATTCAAGTGGACGTAATCCATAGATTATTTCACCTATACAGTATAATATCACTAATCTTGAAATCAAGTTTCAATTTCAGAATCCTGCAGAGAATCGCACTTCTGCGTATTTGAACAAGTGCAATTTAAATACGCAGATCGTATCTGAGAATAGCATAAGAATGGAGAGAGAGAGCATTTGTTATTATGATTTCCATCCCAATTAACGAATGCCTATTTTGACATTATGTCCCTCGTGGACTGGGTAAACTTTTGGGGAAAAGAGGTACTTGTTTATGTAGAAAGGAAGAAAATAATTAATTTCTGAAATCTAGCTCAATAGCCCTCCAATTGATCATTCCAAGCTCCAAAAGTATATGAATTTGAAAGGTTATGCAGAAAAGCATGTAAATTGAATCCCGCTTGTTCTAATTTGCCAAATGAATGCCAGTGCTTGTGTATTTCAAATCGGTGTATGAATATTCGCTTTCCTCTTGTTTTTTTGCAGTGAGGAAGAAGAGGAGGAGGAAGAGGAGGAGGAGTGAGTACACATCCTTTTTTCCTTGTCAAGCTTTTTTTCTCAGATTGAAACGAGAAGAATAGTATAGATCTAATTCGAAATCTCTTGGCGTCGGAGTTGGCACTGGTTTCTATACATTCATTCAATTCCATTTCGTTTTGCCTCACACCAAAAAAAAAAAAAATGGACGAGGGCAGCAAGCATGATGATGAGAAGGATGAGGAGAACCCCACGCAGGGAAAATTTGATGAGGGAAACAGAGTCGAGGAGTACACCAAAAAAAAAAAAAATGGACGAGGGCAGCAAGCATGATGATGAGAAGGATGAGGAGAACCCCACGCAGGAAAAATTTGATGAGGGAAACAGAGTCGAGGAGGATTCGGGTTCGGAACAGGAAGACGACGAGGATGAGAAGCGGTGAAGAAAAACAAACGAACAAACCGGAAAAAATGCTTGAAATTTCCTTCTATTTTCTTTCTTTTCTTCTCTTATTTTTTGCTCCTCCGCCAAAAATTTTGGCAAGTAGCCCGGAGTCGTGACGCGGAATCTTCCGACGACTGTCCTTTCCTATAAACAAGTGTCCGGTGACGACGCTGTTCAGCCCTATTTATTTTCATTCCCGAAAAAAAGCCCAGCTTTATTCATTATAGGAACTCATTCTCTTTGAACTTTTGTCAAAGCATATGCTCCCATTTCTCAAACGAAGATATTCTTTTCATGCGTTGCCAACTTTTTTTTTTAGAAAGCTTTTCAAATATCTCACTAAAGGAACGGCTTCTTGTCATTAAAAAGTACTTGGTTACGGTACTTCTGACGGATGCACAGAGTGTAACGGATATTTCGCATAATCATGTTGATGGTACTGACAAAGCCCCGCCATTGCTGATATATATACCACGCAAAAGGATTCCACCCTTTCATATTTTCGGCAACCGGAAATAAAGTCTGTGAAAATTAATCTTCAGTGATGATAGAAGAACATTGAAAACCCTGGCAAGACGCTGTCTGTCAAAATTATTGGCAAGAAAAAATTAGAAAAAGCTCCCACTCAATATTTAGTTTTGTTATTGGTACCCGACCAATATGATTCCAATTTCTCATTAGAGAGCTCTGTAATTTTCAAACATTGAAAAAAGACACGTCAGCATTATACTTATTTTGGGTAAAATGATCAGTAGGTACATTTGAAATATCCTGTGGTAATTTTGAGGGTTTTCCAGAATGAAAATGCCTGGCTACTACAGTAATCTTTTCCGTTTTTAATCTGCAAAAGGTTGTATATGTCAGCTACAATTTTCAATTGAAAAACAAAAATGATTACAGCGGATTTTATGCATCCCAGCTCTTTTTATTTTAGACTTGAACTTCATGCTAGTAATTTTGCACTGTAATACATGTATGAAATCCGAGTTCATGGCCGTTGAACATTTCAAAGACACTGCTTCAAAAATTTAGGTTTGATTAACAAAACGTATATAGGTTTGTCCCTTGATGTGCACAAGTTGTTTAATTCTATTGACATCCACTTCAAAATGCAGGAACAATTCTTGCGCACTGACTCACATGAGAGGTTCCTTTATTCGCACTGCAATCCCATGATACGGGGTTTTCAAGCTTCTATACACAGATGTCGCCTGGAACCTTACGGTTCTTCGTTCCGCAGACATTGAATATCAGGTTAATATTGGTCACGTTGGGTCACACTAACTCTGTTATATTTGAACCTGCTGCCCAATGTTACGATATTTTTTAAAAGTGGAATCATGAAATCGAGGGAAGAACTCGGAAATGAGTAGGTTATCAATTCGAATTGCAGGCAAGAAAAAAAAAAGCTTATGAGTATATCTTAACGCTTGGAATGTTTCTGCAAAACCAAAAAATATATAAAGGTTCGGTTGCTGACATTGATTCCACCATATCAATTTTTGGGCAAGCACTCCTCGCATTAATTATTAAATATAAATTTCTAGAAATCATTAATAGCTTCCCCCTCCTCAAAATTGCAGTGCTGGGTACTTCCTGGCACTATAGCATCTTTGACTCTAGATTCTTGACCTATTGAAAGTCTTTTCTGTCATGTACAGTAGAAACCAATGAAGGTTGAATATCTCTTGAGTAAATAAGCAGCTCATGTTCATTAATATCATCATCAGCACATGAGTTGAGTTATTCTTTAACCAAGTTATCCAAGCTGTGAGAAGAGTTTGCTGAGTTGTTTATTGATTATACCTGTGTGAAATACATTTAGCCAGTTAACTTAGAAAATCCTACAAGGAATTCATCCCAGTTCTGTACCAGACTGATGATTGTGTTTTATTGAAACATTCAACATCAACTTATATTGCGGTGACAATCTGTCCTCAATATAAATGACATGATCCTGTCACTCCATATAAATTTGGTAGGCCTCTCTTTATGGAAAGTATATTTTAAAAAATAAATAAATGAATGAATGAATGGATGGATGAATTAAAAAAAAAAGATGTTTGGGGGTAGATTTATTCTTCTTGGGCTGGAGTGGGCGGGGCTACCGCTGTCTTTCCTTGTCCCCGCCTCTTTCCGTCGATCCGCGCGTCGAGACCTGACCCGACTTCCGTCTTGGCTGNGACTTCGTCAAGGTGAGATATAATCAGGGATATGTCTCGAAAAAACAAATTAGACGAAGAACTGTGAAAAAAAGACGTGCAGTAATTTGAATAAATATTCAATGAGTTGTAACGTTATTTCAATCGCAGCTTCGCCAGTCGACCAAGATGGAGGAGCTGGACGAGCAGTTGCGCGAATACATTGAAGAATGGCGCAAACAACGATCAAAGGAAGAGGACGAGCTCAAGCGCCTCAAGGAGAAGCAGGTCAAACGCAAGGTATATACTTTTAAAAATTACTGTTTACAGTTTCTGGATCCCTTTCTATTTTTGGTGCCAAATGATGACTCAGATATCTGCTTTAAAAAAAAAAAAAACAACCAAAAATTGAGATTTCGATTCCACGTCGTGGCTCATGAGGAGTCCTCTTTTTTTTAATGAAGCTGCATCAGAAACAAAATGAAAAAGGGCTGATTTCAACATGAAGTCTTGAACAGTCTGTCTGAATATTTGGAGCGTTCAAATTCCACCAGTTTTATTTATTTATTTTCTGTAAAATCGTTGTTGGTAAAACCAACAGGAGCAGATAGAGACGATAGCTTAAAGCGAAAATCTTATTAATGCATCTGCACAAAATTAATGTTCTTATTGCCAGAATGATATTAATTCAACTGTTCTCTATATATATAGTGATGTTTTCAGATTTATATCAGCCCAACATGCTCTTGCCCAAATTTTGTGCCCCTGGGGGACAAAATTTGGGCAGATATGGTCAGATATGGCCCGCAGAAACTATTCCTACACACTGAGAATTTTCAAGGTGGCAGCTGCCCCTATTCAAAAAACTGCAAAAATTTATATTGAAATATAAATTTAAAAATTAAAATGTGTGCTCCATCCTTGCAAAATGTATGCAAAGCTCTGCTTGTGATTTAGTACGTGACAACACTGAATCGGATTTTGAACATTTTCCTTCAAAACGTAAAATCTGGAACCTCGAAGAAATTATTGTCTATTTTTTTTTAATTTTCCTCAAGGACTCTCCATCTCTTGAATGCGGTCCTCGGTCATACGATTAATCTATTTACGTGGGCCACTAAATCTGAGTTGGACATCGCTGATTTACATGGTTTTATCATATAGTGGTTTAATTGTGACAGACCTCACAAATTTGTGGCGTCACATTAGACGCCAGCAGGGTCTGCATGTAAATATATATATATAAGCATCAGGTCATAAGATGGATTTCGTATTATTCCGATAAACCAGCAGCATTCGCTGATTTTCCGAGTACTGTACTTTGCAAGCACGACTATATACATCAGTACTGTACTGTACTTTATAGAGTCTCTTTTCATGGTAGAAACCCCGTTTGACTATACTGTATATCCCAATACAATAGCAACTCCGGAAAGAAGAGGAGAAGCGGCTGATGCAGAAGAAGCGCGAGGAAGAGTTGCGCAGACAGCGAGAAATCGAGGAGAAGAAGCAGAAGGACGCTGATGAGAAACTCCGACGCCTGGAGGAGGCCGAGAAGAAGCGTCAGGCCATGATGAAGGCGCAGCAGGACAAGAACAAGGGCCCCAACTTCACCATCCAACGAGGAATGAAATCCACGGTATAACCTATATACAGTACAATAGAGAATACTCTATCTGTTCCATTCATTTTATTCCCGCCGTCTAAAACTGAAAGTATTAATCCAGCGGCATCTTATTATTAATATTCTCGCTGAGAATTAGCGGACGAACCACAATAAATATAATTTGTCTCGAATCCAAGTCCGCCATTTTAAATGTTGGATCACGAAAGACAGGGATTATCTAGGCCAAAAGTGAACCTATACGCTTTATATGCGAACGGTTTTTATTTTTATTTTTAAAGACTGTAGATGACGCTCCTATAAATTTGCAATTTCGACTTTTTAACCAGCTAGCGCTGTCAGCATTTTATAGCGAAGACTTCGTTGAATATTGTATTTATTTATTTTATTCTTTCAGAGCTAACTTACTGTACACTGTAGATAAAATTTGTTGCAAGGGTATATAGTACTGTACCCTACTCAGTTAACGGAAGGGAGAATTTATGCGCACACTCGGATAAATTATAAACATAAACAGACTTCCTTTGGTGTTGATGATTGAAATTTAATTTTTTATGTAATGTAATTTGTTTGAAGGACTTTTTGCTTAACAGGCTTTTCTGTTGCACAAATCAAGTCCGTTGGACGGGGGTTTACTTTACTGTATACAGTGTATATATTTACAGTATATATTTATTCATTTATTTATATACAGACTGATGACCCGCGGGCAGAGTTCAACAAGCCAAAGGAACTGCTGGAGGAAGAGAAGAAGGTGTCTTTGGCCATTCGCATCAAGGCCCTCAACGTGGACAACCTGGGCATGGAG